ATCCATCCATCCATCCATCCATCCATCCATCCATCCATCCATCATCTTCTACTTGTTCCGAAGTCGGCTTGCGGGGGCAAAGCTTGAGCAGGGAGGCCCAGACATCTCTTTCCACAGCAACCTCTTCCAGCTCTTCTGGGAGGATTCCAAGGTGCTCCCAGGCCAACTGAGAGACAGTCTCTCCAGCATGTCCTGGATCTTCCCCGGGGTCTCCAGTCAGACATGCCCGAAGCACCTCCCTAGGGAGGCGCCTAGGGAATAGCCTTACCAGATGTTCGAACCACCTCAACTGGCTTCTCTTGATGTGGAGGAGCAGTGTTTCTATTCTGATTCTCCCCCTGATAACACATTTCAACCGTCTGTATTCACAATCTCGTCCTTCTGCTGTCACGAGCCATGTTTCCTGCTAGTTCCAGGATCTCAGTGGTCAGGCACTCGACAACAGCCGGCAGATAGATGGGAGTGCATTCACAGCTCCTCCATTTGAAATTCGGGGCTGTAGTTGATATATTAATTGAGCTTTCAGATGTTAATCAGCAGCTCCCAGTTGTAGAAAACCACCTTGTTGCCATGGTTACACGTCATAACAAATGTCCAAAAGTAAAAAAGTTTCAGTAAAAATACTTCCAGCTGCGCAACATCAGATACCATAGGAAACAATAATTGGATAAAAGTGATTTACATTCAGATAAAGAGGAATCAAAGTTTCCAAAAGTTTCAAAAGGTTTCAAAAGTTTGTTATTTTCATTCTGAAAGTAACAGAGCTACTCAAACATGCAGCCACACCAAATGGTGTAATTCCAGAACTTTTACAGTCATGTTCATGACTGTATGTGTATTAACTGTGTATTAACACGTTCAGTTAAGTGTCAATTTCATCACCACTTGTTGAGGTCAACAGCACCCCACCTTCACTGAAATTTGGTAAAGCTCTGCTTTACTAATAATGTGCCTCCTGATAATTGACCAGAATCTTCTCGGAGCCGATTGAGAGTTCCTATCCAATTCCCCACTGAACTCCTCCCACATCCCTGCTTTTGCCTCAGCTACAGCCAAGGCTGTGGCCCACCTGGCCCTCTGGTACTCATCAGTCATCTCTGGAGTTCTACCTGCCTACAAGGCCTGATAGTACTCCTTCAGCTTGTGTCCATCACAGAGTTCGAGGATGGCCACTGCAAGAAGCACAGACAATCTTGTGGCCACAACTCAAAGCATCCACTTCAGTGGATTGAGGCATGGAACATGGCCCATTTGGGCTCAATGTCCCCCATCTCAGCTGGGATTTATTTACAGTTCTCCCAGAGGTGTCATGTCACCCCCTCCAGGTCACACTTTTGTTACCCACGTGAACATTAAAGTCCACCAGCAGAATAAAGGAGTCCCCAGCTGGTGTACCTTCCAGCACCCCCACTAAGGACTCCAAGAAGCTGGATACTCCGAACTGCCATTTGGCGCATAGGCACAAAATCTGTCAGAGCCCATCCCCAAACCCGAAGGCACAGGGATGCTACACTCTCATCTACCGTGGAAAACTCCAACATGCAGGCACCAAGTTAAGGACCTAAGAGTAGACCCACACCAGCTTGGCCCCTCACCATCAGCAACTCCAGTGTGGAATAATGTCCAGCCCTTCTCAAGGAGATTGTTTCCAGAGCCCATGCTGCGCGTCGAGGTGAGCCCAAATATATCTAGCCAGTACCTCTCAACCTCACACACACACAACCTCAGGCTCCTTCCTTGCCAGAGAGGTTGCATTCCATGTCCCATGAGCCAGCTTTGGTAAGCCAGGGTCAGAGCGCTAAGGCACTCCCCTTCAGCCACTACCTATGGAATTATACACCCGACTCAAATGGCCCCTCTTGCAGGCGGTGGGCCTACAGGAAGGCAAACCCATGTTGCTCATTTGGGCTGAGCCCTACTGGGGCCCCATGGGTGGAGACCCCATCACCAGGTGCTCACTAATGAGCCCCTCCTCCAGGCCTGACTCCTGGGTGGGGCCCCAGTAACCCATGTCAGGGCAAGTGACATTGAGTTCCTTGTTTTTCTTTGGCCATACAAGTGTTTTGAATCACTTTATGTTTGGTCTGTCACCTAGGACCAATCTAAGTTGGGAAATCCTACCAGCGGCAATTACAATTGCCCCTGACAGTATAGCTTCTCAGCTGCACAAATTCCTCCACCACGATAAGGTTGTGATTCAAGGAAGAGATTGGAGCTTGTACTTTGTATTAGCACAAACGAAAAAGTACACATTTGAAAGTGTAATTAACAACGGATGAATCATACAAGTTTCCCAATTGGCATTCTAACATACATTTAACATACATTTTTAAAGGAAGTCTTTCTCCATCCATCCATTATCTTTACCCGCTTATTCCATTTTGGGTCACGGGGGTCGCTGGTGCCCATGTCCAGCAATCACTGTGCGAGGGGTGGGGTACACCCTGGACGGGTCGCAAGTCCATCACAGGGCCACAAAGAGACAAACACACAAACAAACATTCACTCTCTCACTCACCCCTAGGGACAATTTAGAGTTACCAATCAGCCTAACATGCATGTTTTTGGTCTGTGGGAGGAAACCGGAGCACCTGGCGAAAACCCACGCATGCACGGAGAGAACATGCAAACTCCACCCAGAAAGGCCCCTGGACCGGGGTTTGAACCAAGGACCTGCTCGCTGAGAGGCAGCAGCTCTGCCAGTTGCGCCACCGTGCTGCCCAGGCAGAAACATGACACTGATAAATAAACAAATTTGTTAACTTAGATGACAATCTCACAAAGTGTCTTTATAAGATGAAATGTTGCAGCACAATATTAAGCATAGGTTCTTATTTATTTTTCATTGAATGCTTCTTGCCTCAAATTTGCTTTTCAAGCCAATGACATTTCTTATATTTAACTTTTTCCATGTTAGTTTTTGTATTATCTTTGATTTAATATGATGTCATGCTCAAATATATATATATATATATATATATATATATATATAAAATGTTCCATGTACAAACTAAACTTAACATCTTATTTTTTCAAACAAAATTAGATCAACTTAACAAAATCACTTTGAGCTTTGAGTGCATGACATTATGTAACTCTTTCAGGTATCTTCATGGACAACCCAAGGCCCAATAGCCAGTACCTTACCTCTGTTGTGGCCTGATAGCCCTGGGCCGACAGTGATGACCAGTTCCTCTCCAGGACCCCATCCCACCTACCAGCTACACTCTTCTGCTTCGTTCAGATCCTTGCCGTCTCCTCTGTCTTTTAACCAGTGGCCTGGGTTTTTCTTCCCCGTTCCTCCAGGAGTCTTTGCCTTTCCTTCTGTGCCCTCTACCCAGTCCAGTTCCATTTCTGTGCCGTCACATCAGCTGACTGATCCCAAGGCAAAGACTCTGTAATCTGGGTAGCAATGGGTCTTCCAATTCTGTAACCAAATAATTATATTAAAGTAGCATTTGTTAATATGTGCATAGAGT